GTGGTGACTTATGCCTGTAATCCCAGCACTTTGGGAGGCCGAGGTAGGCAGATCACCAAGGTAGGAGTTTGAGACCATCCTGGCCAACATGGCGAAATCCTGTCTCTACCAAAGATAGAAAAATTAGCTGGGTGTGGTGGCGCATGCCTGTAGTCCCAGCTATTCGGGAGGCTGAGACAGGAGAATTGTGTGAACCTGGGAGGCAGAGGTTACAGTGAGCTGAGATCCCACCACTGCACTCCGGGCTGGTTGACAGAGCAAGACTCGGTCTCAAAAAAGAAAAGAAAAGATGTGGTAACACCTTTTACAGCTTCTTCAGTATATGATGTTCCTTTGCCTTCCGATTAGTGCTCAGCATGGTTCTCTGCATTAGTTGCATGACCTTCTACTCTTACGTGTTTCCAGTCATTTGAATAGCTAACCAGGATTATTATTAATTGGTACATATTATTTGGAAATGCTGTATCTGTTCCCTGAAACTTAACATGTTGATGATGTACTCACCTCAGAATTTCTCTAGAAAATGCATAGGGCTTGTTCAGAGGTTGATCAGTAGTTTAACCTTCTTTGTCCACTTTCAGCTGAAACATTAACAAATGTGCTGGATTTCAAAAGGGATGCTGGTCTATGGCATGGAGTGTTAACAGTGAGTGTTGTTTGCTGATGACTAATTGTTGGAACAAGGGATTGAGATGAACCCGAGCCTCTGCCTGAAATGTTGTTGGGAGAGTATGTTGGTTTTGTTTTTCTTTTTCTGGTGTGGCTCGGGCCTGCTTGCCCTGAGGGTGTCTGCTCCCCCACAGAGCGTCATGAACAGGATGCATGTGGTCAGTGTCCCCTACGCACTGATGAAGGCCAACCCGCTCTCCTGGATCCAGAAAGTATGCTACTATAAAGGTAATGGATATCCTGGTCACGGCACTCACCGTTCTTTAGGAAAAGCTCTTTGAACTGATCTTTGGTGATTAAAAAAAAATAAAGCTGACATGGAACTGCAGATGTAGGCTGAGGAGCCATGGGACGTCTTTCTTGGTCATACCCCTGCCCAAGAGAATGGGGGTTTTCTCTGCCTCGGGCATGGCCCTCAGGGTTTCATGGGTGATGTAGTAAGATAGCGCCACTTGGTGAGGTGGGGGTCTCACTTTTCTCAGTGGTTGAGGTGCCTCCTGGGACCAAGCAGGAAGCCCCAGCATGGCCACACCTGCACAGTCGGCAGTCTGTGTTCTGCCCTGTGGAGCTCAGTGGCACCTTTACCAGCTACTGAGGCACTGGCTCACCTGGGACACCATGTTGCCTTGTTCTTCCTGCTGGGCTGTGCCCCTCTAGGCATGTCTCAGAGCAGCAGGGAGGGTCAGCTCTCTCTGTCTGTCCCGCTTTATGGAGGAAAGCTGAAGCTTGGGTGGGGTGGGGGTATTTGCTGGGTGCCACATGCTAGCCAGTGCAGGGCCCAGATTGAGGCCTGAGACCCTCTGTTCAGCTCCTGGGGTCCTCACACCTCTCGACCAGCCAGTACCAGGGGTTCGGGGAGGGACAACGTGAGACGAAGCAGGCAGATAGGAAAAGAGCAGTATGGAGCTTCTAAGAAAAGATTAATGTTGGAAATGGATCTGAGTTTTTGATGTCTAAATTGTACCTCAGAGTTGATTTTTGTGGAAAAAGTGTTGAGGGTTAGTTAGATTGCATATGAGAGACCGCTGCAGAGAGCTTGTAACCTGGGAGCTAAGTGTTGAGTCTCTTTCTGTGTGTGCACCTCTGTGTGGGATGAGGTGCACGTGTGTGTAGGTGTGTGAGGGTGCCAGTCCTCGTGACGGAGGGATGTCTGTGCCATCCTCTCTCTGCAGCTCGGGCCGCGCTGGTGAAGTCACGAGACATGCACTGGTCTCTCCTAGCTCAGCGAGGCCAGAGGGATGTCAGCCTCAGCTCACTGCGAATGCTGATTGTGGCAGATGGTGCCAACCCGTGTGAGTGAGCCTGTGCGCCTGGGGCATAGCCCACACAGTGTCCCCTCCTACAAACCAAAGTAGAATACACTGAGAAGCAAAACTGAGCTGTTTACACATCGTTTCTATGACATGGAACATCTTGGTGATTCACTGGCTTATCTCATGCATGTTTATTAGGCCACTAGATTTAAAAGCAGTTTTAATACAGTTGATGAAAGGTACATGCCTTAATGAGAGTCATCTTTCTTAAGTAATTACCAGATTATGCCGTGGCCTGGGGGTTCCTGTTTCTCTTCAGACCTCATCCCCAGCCTCCTGCCCTTTGTCCTGGTGCCCCCACCTCGCTGGTTTCTGGCTTAACTTCTCCCACCAGGACCCAATGACTGTTCCTTCTGGTTTGCCTGGGTCGCCCCCAGATCCTCCCAGGAGGAACTCCCTGTGGCTGCTGCCTGAGCACCTCGGACTTCCTGTGTACGGTGGTCTGAGTGATAATTGCTTTTGTCAGAGCTGCACACATGTGAGCTCTGGGGCGCAGACTGTCCAGGGTCGGACTCGGTACTTCCTCTGGGGAAACCTCAGGTAATGCTGGTCACACAGGGGCTCCTGTTGTAGCACGCACCTGTTGACCAGATATTGGGGCTTTTCTTGATTGTTAACTTGCATCACTGTCTAGGCATTGGAGACTACCCTGGGTCAGAAGCTGACATTTCGTCTTATCCCCTCTCCAGTGTAGCACAAGAGATGGAACCCCTGGTATCCCCCATCTCTTGGGAGAGCACCCCACCTTTCAGCATGCCCAGAGCCTCTCATTCTCAGGTCCACACCTGAGACAGTCAGGGCCTGCTTCTGGGTTCTGCAGCGCTGCTCAGGTCTCTTTGTCTCTACCCCACGCCCACTGCCTCTCTGTGGTCCACATGGTGGAATCAGCGTGCCCCACCCCTCCAGTGCCTCCTCCCGTGGCACTCCCCAGTCGCTGTGCCTGATACTTGCAGTGCCGTGCGGCTTGTCAGCCACCATATACGGCGCCTTCCTGTCCCTAGTGATGCCCTTTTTGCCCTTTATAGCACCAAACCGTCCATGGCTGCCTGGTTTTCTTTAAAGACACCATCTCCCTTGAAGATCGTGAAGTCTGAGGATGCCTTGAAAGGGCCCCTTCCTTCTGCTGACGCAGCCCTGGGTCCCGATGGCTGCAGGCTATGCTGACTTGAGCTTGTACAGCCACCAGCTATTGCCTGGTGTACTCCCAAGAGCATGTGCTCCTGTGTGTTAGTGGCCAGCTGTTACCCTTTCCCTGCTGGCCCCCAGTTAGTGCTGGCATTCCACCTTGTTGCTCCGTGCAGGGTCAATCTCCTCCTGTGACGCCTTCCTCAACGTCTTCCAGTCCAGAGGTCTGAGGCCAGAGGTCATCTGTCCTTGTGCCAGTTCTCCTGAGGCGCTCACTGTCGCCATCCGCAGGTAACCTCATTCCTTGCTTGTGTCTTGTGAGCACTGAGTTGAGTCTTCCGTGTACAACAGAGTTATTCTGGAGCTGTGCCTGTTAGGATCCAGGCCCATTTGTGCAGCAGCACCTTGGTGCCTGGCCTGCTGCTTTTTGCCAGCTTGGGCTTGCATGGGGAATTGAGTAGCAGCTTCCTGGGCCATATTCTGGATTCTTGCCGAATGCCGGCTTGTGATTTTTCTGAAGTGCTTGCCAAATTAGAAAGGCCTTGTCATCTCGTCTGTAGCCGTAGTAATCATTACAACCTAGGAACTCGTCCTTACTCGGAGGCAGATGCCTGTCAGCCATGGAGTCTGTGGGAACCATTGACCTGCCTGGAGACGCGCCCAGCCTGGTGCTTAGCATCCAGCCACCCATCTCCTGGGAGGCCCATGCTACCCTCGTGGCTGTTTTCCTCATGTCACCTCTCTCAGCCTGGAGGGCATGTTGGGCCTACAGACTGTCCTGAGCATCCTTGTGTGTGGGTGCGGGGCTGCTGGCCCTTCCTGTGCTCCTCACCCTGCTCCGGAGGTTTCCTTTCCCCTCCTCTTACCACTCCAACCCCAGTTCCATCCTGGGGGTAGAATGCAGTGTACTCACAGCTGAGGGTGTCTTAGCCTCAGTTGTGGTCTTGTATTATAGTCACATATTCATAAATTGTGTGTGTTTCCATTTATGTAAGTAACCCCAAGTTTCTAAAAGTAACCCTAACTTTTTAAACACTTAACATTAAAAAACACTATTGTCATCTGCAAACTATAAATTGTTCTTCATTCTTTTGTTCTATGATGATTTGTTTTGCGCAACGGTTTAATTTTTTTCTTATTGGAGGAAACACTAACCTTTGTTGCTTAGTGTTCAGTTACTATTGTTGTATCACAAACAACAACAGTCATTTTATTATCTCTCAGGCTTTCTGTGGGCCAGGAGTTTGGGAAAACCTCTGCCAGGTGCTTTTGGCTTGCAGGAGATGGTGTTTGGACAGGAGCCGTGAGGGGCTGAGACCATCTCTGGGCCCCCACCTGGCCTCTCAGAGTGGGCTGCTCTGGGCTTCCTTGCAGCGCAGTGGCCTCAACACAGTCATTCTGTTTGCCTGGCTTCCCAGGGCTCCAGGCGAGTGTCCCAGCACAACCAGGTAGAAGCTGAATTGACATTTATGGCCTGCACTGGAAGTCACATAGCATCACCCCCACTGTAGTCACAGGCCCTTCTCCCACTGAATGGCGTGTCGAGGTCACATTGCAGAGGGACATGTGGTGTGGAGACATTGCAGCATCTTTGGGACATGTTGTGTGGAGACATTGCAGCATCTTTAGAACATGTGTTTCTCACAAGTCTGTAGCATGGAGCAGTGGCTTTGGTGCAGAATCATGCTGCAGGCAAGGTGGGCTCACCTCCCTGGAATTTTATCCCCCTCATCAATTAACTCCATTGTGGTTTTGTTTTCTAGGCCACCTGATCTGGGAGGACCACCTCCAAGAAAAGCGGTTCTGTCGATGAATGGTCTAAGTTACGGTGTTATCAGAGTGGATACTGAAGAAAAATTGTCAGTCCTTACTGTTCAGGACGTTGGTCAGGTGATGCCTGGAGGTAAGGGACTTAACCAGAGTGGGTCTTTGTCCGCGACTGATTGATGTAACAAAAAGGGTTATAAATGTTCCAGGCTTTGTCGTAGTGCTCTAGAAGCAAGCATGCAAGTAAAACGATTCTCAAGAAGGTTTTCAAGGTAAATTGGAATTTTAGTTTGTCAAATATTTGCTCAGTTTTTTCCCTGTCTTTGTGTTAAGTTTAAAGATGAGCTAAAATACAAAGATGTGTATGTGGGCTGTGCAGCTCACTTACAGTTCTCTGATGTTTGGGGAGATGGTGACAATAGCTCACTGCATTCCAGTCACAGGTTTTATACTTCACATGTGTTGAAGCACTTAACCCCACAGCAACCATGTGAAGTGGGCAACTCTGAGGAATATGGTAATGTTTATGAATAACTTGACAATTAGGTTATCTAAATAAGTTGAAGCAACCATGTGTTATGGTTGAAGCCTCATGGAAGCTTCCCAGAAATTCTTATGTGTCAGAAAGGCCTATGTGATCTCTTGTGCAGAAGTCAGCTCTGTGGGCCTGACTGTCATGTTACATGTTGGAGGTTTTTCTTGCCAGCCTGAGGCAGAACCTGGCCTGGGAGGCCCTGGTGACAGCCGAGTAGGGTCACTGTCACATGGTCTGAGGCTGCCCTGCTTGTAGCCACCCCACAGCTACTTCAATTTTCCTGCCTCAGGCTCTTTTGGGGTTCATGGGCAGCTGTCTTGGCCCCTTTTGGTGACTTCTAGAGGCAGGCCCCATCTCTCAGTGCAGTCTCACCCTTTCCTGTGAGGCCCTGACTGTGTTAGGGGTTGCAGGCACCGCGTGCTTCTCAGCATTCTGGCCCTTGTGCCCGCAGCTCTGCCTTCTGCAGGTGGCTGTGCTGCTCAGGTGCAGACCCTGTGGGTGGTGCTGGCAGCTCAGCCATCCCTAACCTGGAGCTCGGGGCCAGGTGGTGCCTGATCCCTGTGTGTACACAGACACTGGGTCCTCACTGAAGACTGGAGGATTTCAGCTTGTGTTTCTAGCTCTACTTTTTATTCATATGAATGACATCCTTTTCTTCCTGTATTTCTACTTGGAAATGGACCTGTCCGTCTTGTACAGTGCTTGAACCTGTGGCCAAAACATTTTCACATACATCAATCATTGGGGTCTCACTTATTTATGTGATGGGGAAAATATAGGTAGCTGTTTAAACTTTACTGGAAAATCATGTTGAGGTCATGATTCTGAATGAATCTAAGGAACATCTGTAGTTGTGCGCATTTTATTTGTAAAATGTGGATTAGGACATGACATGCATGTGTAGTGCTCTCTAGGTGTATGCACAGCGCTCTCCCAGGCGGACCTGTTTCCCATGATGCTTCACAGCCCCCTGGCTATGCCCCTTGTTGTGGGACTGAGCCACATGGTGAATCCGACGGGTGATTTGTCTTCAGCAGTTTTTCAGTCTGCCCTGTGTAAGCCTGCGGTGTTTGTGTTCACTACGGCATCAAGGGTATACGTAGTGCTTTGTGTCTTTTTGTGACCTTGCCCCATCTCTGCATGTGCCTGTGAGTGTTATGTGGCACTGACGGCTGCCTGGAGTGCAGACAAGCACCACCTTCCATATCAGCCAAGCATGGCTGCATTCTCTCTGCTAAGTCTTTTATGATGATGGGGCTGTGGGAGGAGTCACGCTGAGGCCTGCACCATCAGGCTCCGTGAAAAGGAGCATATGTGCAGATTGGGCCCCCAAAGCAGAAAGAGCTGAGAAACTGAAGAAGGAGGCAGACAGATCCAGTTTATCAGTAAAGGGCGATCTATTGGGGAACTTACCGATGAAATCATGATCTTGAATCGCTGCAAGACAGGCAGATCTCTGCGCTGCAACCCTCCAGACCCAGGGCCTATGTCTTGGGGAAAAACATCTGTGCTCTGGAAGGAACGTACACATGGCCGAGGGAGTGCTCTGGGCCTCGTAGCTTATGGCGTTTACAGCAGCATCAAAGGTTGTTTTGGAGGTTAGGCAAAACTTAAGATGAATAGATGTTTCTCCATGAAGACATCTTAGAGGCACTCCTGGACTTAGATTAGTCTGGAGTCACATGGCAGATCAGCATTTAAAATAAAGTTACTAGAAAGGGAGCAGGCATGGGGCAGAGTTCTGTCAGGCTGTGGTGTAGGAGCCAGTGTGGTGGTGATAGTCAGGAGCACCCCACATGGCCCCAAGAGGACAATGGGATAGGAGGCGGCACAGGGTTTGTTTATCATAGAGGACATATTTTGTCAGCCGGGGCTTATTATATGAAGGATGTGTTGTACTTTCTAGTCACCTTACAGTGGTTATAAGAATACTACATATGCAGTGTAAGACTTACAACTGGGTAGCGTGTGTATCATAAAACTCCTTATAAGAAGATGCTGTGTGTATAACATCCTGTTTCCATTACTGCACAAACAGCAGCAAGGAGATCTTTGTGAATGATCCATTTAAACATATCCTTTATTATTTTGAGGTTTTTTTTCTCATTTTAGCTAATGTATGTGTTGTGAAGTTAGAAGGTACCCCTTATCTTTGTAAAACTGATGAAGTGGGAGAAATATGCGTCAATTCCAGCGCAACTGGCACAGCCTACTATGGATTGCTTGGAATCACGAAGAATGTGTTTGAGGTTTGTCCCTTTTCCTGACTTTCCTGTTTAAGTTAAGTTCTGTGACCACTCAGGGGGCCCCAGGTGTGCGGGGTGCTGGGGGATTGCAGTGGTGTTGGGGATGGTCTCCCTCCACACAGGCCCTCCTAGGGCTGTTGGCACATGGCCTACACACCTCTGTGTGTCCTCCCAGAGTGAGGGTGGGGCCGGGACCAGGACCAGACATGCTGTGAGAAGCTGGGAGTCAGTGTGCTTCCCACGGTCCTGCATGGGAGAAGGGCATGTGGGTGCTGCCTGGTGGCCGATAGGAAGGCACTCACTCTGGCCCCAGGGAAACCAGCCCTCTGCCACATTTGCATTGTTGTAATGTGAGTTGTTCAGGACAAGTCTACTGAGGCCAGGGGAGGCCACACATCCAGAGCAGAGGTAAAAGGCATGCTTGTGTCCTGCCTCAGGAGGCCTGCCCAGGAGATGGAGTAGCCAGGCCACGGAAACTGGGCCTATGCAGTACCAGCCTCTTTTTTCCCCTGGTTGGCAGGCGTGGCAGGCATGCACGTGGTACTGAGTCTCCTGCCACCTGCTGGGTCTTTTTGGCCAGTTAGTTGGTTGTCCACAGCCTGATTGTGCCCCTCTCCACTCTGTGCAGACAGTTCCAGTCACTGCAGGAGGGTCACCCGTCTTTGACAGGCCTTTCACCAGGACGGGCCTGCTGGGCTTCATTGGGCCTGTGAGTATGTCCTCCCATATCAGGACTGGCAGTCAGGGAAGGTAGGGGGCGTGGCTAAGGGACACCTTGCTGCAGTCCTGCTCTTGTCCTGGCTGTTCCTGACCTTCCATGTGGCCTTGGTTGGTCACGCTGACCTCCCCGCCCATCACCGCACCTGTGTGCAGGGCCGTCCACACCTCCGAGATCAGTGTGCAGTCCTGCACACAGGCCCGAGTCGGGGGTCCCAGGGATGGATGAGGGTGTTTTGCTTTTTATATGGAGTGGCTGGTCCGTGAATATTCATTATACCACTATGGATGTCTAAACTATTTAAAAATAAATACTTCTATTTGTAACATCTTGACCCAGTGTTTCTCTCAGCTGGGCAGTTTTGCCTCCTCCTTCCCAGGGGAGTTCTGGCAACCTCTTTTTTTTTTTTTTTTTTTTTTGAGTTAGAGTTTTGCTCTTGTTGCCCAGGCTGGAGTGCAGTGGCGCGATCTCGGCTCACGGCAAACTCCGCCTCCTGGGTTCAAGTGATTCTCCTGCCTCAGCCTCCTGAATAGCTGGGATTACAGGTGTGTGCCACCACGCCCAGCTAATTTTGTATTTTTAGTAGAGACGGGGTTTCTCCATGTTGGTCAGGCTGGTCTCGAACTCCTGACTTCAGGTGATCTGCCCGCCATGGCCTCACAAAGTATTGGGATTACAGGCGCGAACCACTGCACCTGGCCTTCTGGCAACTTTTGAAGACATTTTTGCTTGTCACAACTCAGGGTAGGGGAGTGTTCCTGGCATATAGTGAGTACCTAGAGGCCAGGGATGCTGCTTGGTGGCCAGCATTGCCCAGGACAGCACCTGCAACGATATTGTCAACCCAGAAGGTCACTGGTGCCGGGTTTGGGACCCCAACCCTTAGTGCAGCAGTTTTCAGTCCTTCACAGACTCCACCCACAACTTGTTTCCCACTTGTGAGCGTTTCCCATGCTCCCTTCCTAACACTGCCCCACAGGCCTGCTTCCTTCCACACAGCCTGCCCCTTTTCCGAGCCTGGCTTGTCATAGGGCCTGCATTGCACATTGAGTCTGTGGGGCATTGACCCAATTGCGAGGCGCCCGAGGCTCCTGTGCTGTCGGCCCCTTCTTGGGGGGCCTGACCATGGTCCTGGCGCATCCAGCTTCTGCCCATGGGTGGAATCCTGACCCACACCATTTCCCTCAGGACAACCTGGTCTTCATCGTGGGCAAATTGGACGGGCTGATGGTCACTGGAGTTCGCAGACACAATGCGGATGATGTTGTGGCCACTGCACTGGCCGTGGAACCCATGAAGTTTGTCTACAGAGGCAGGTGATGCGCTGCGGACCCCTGTGCCGGGAGTAGATTCCTTCCTTTTACAGCTGGGGAAGTCTGTCCGTAGTAGATGGAAAGCCCAGCAAATTTGAATTCATAAAATCTAAACATTGTTGTACATCAGAAAGCTCCTAAATAAAAAGGAAAATATTTGCAGCAGTGATACCAGAGTTAATATCCTAACTGTCCAAAGAGTTCATTGAATTCCTCAAGAAAATAAGGAATTTGATGTAAAATTTTGGACAAAGGCTCAAGGGGACAAATCAGAGAGGGAAAAATTGAGTAAAGCAAAGGAGAAATGTGTCCAAGTTCCTAATAGCCTTAGAATGTGAATTAAAACAGAAAAGTACCATTTTCTCTGTGAGCCACACAATACCCTACATTGCTTCTGGAATGAAAATCAACTCAACTTTTCTACATGTGTAAAGCAAGGACCTTAGAGATTCTCTTGAGCAAAGAAATAGACGTCTGGGCCTACACCTCTGGGCATAGGGGCCACAGGAAGGGAATTTTGCTCCTTCTTTTTTTTTTTTTTTTTTTTTTTTTTGAGATGGAGTTTCAGTCTTGTTACCCAGGCTGGAGTGCAATGGCACGATCTCGGCTCACCGCAACCTCTGCCTCCTGGGTTCAGGCTATTCTCCTGCCTCAGCCTCCTGAGTAGCTGGGATTACAGGCACGCGCCACCATGCCCAGCTAATGTTTTGTATTTTTAGTAGAGACGGGGTTTCACCATGTTGACCAGGATGGTCTCGATCTCTTGACCTTGTGATCCACCCGCCTCGGCCTCCCAAAGTGCTGGGATTACAGGCTTGAGCCACCGCACCCAGCCTAGAATTTTGCTCCTTCTACTCCCAAGCTCTCTGTCTGGGAGGAAGCTCTCCCCCTAATTGGTCCACTCAGCCACCTTTTTAAATTTTATTTTTCTCAAGTGGGTGCCTTTTTTTTTTCTTTTTTTTTTAAAAGAAAGGGTCTTGCTCTATCGCCCACCCAGGTTGGAGTGCAGTAGCCTGATCATAACTCACTGCAGCCTCAACCTCCTGGGCTTCAAGCGTTCCTCTCACCTCAGCCTCCTGAGTAGCTGGGACTATAGGCATACACCCCACACTTGGCTAATTTTTAAAATTTTTTGTAGAGATAGGGTCTCACTATGTTGCTCAGGATGGTCTTGAACTCTCCTGGGCTCAAGCAGTTCTCCTTCGTTGGCCTCCCAAAGTGCTGGGATTACAGGTGTCAGCCAATGTGCCTGGCCAAGGGCATGCCTTTTGTTACTCAAACTAAGGTACCTGGGTGCCAGGCCAGGCCCTGCCTTTGAGTAGCCCTCAAAGCAATCATGAGGGGATTCTGCAAAGTGATGTGTCGTCATGGTCAGTCTTGAGGAAGAAGCCCAAAAGATGGACAACAGGGAAGGTGGGAGATTGCTCAGGGGGCCTGGCCAAGCAGGCTATGTGTGTGCATGTGCACGAGGAGGGTAACACAGCCAGGGTCATGACCTGCCCCCCACAGCAGAAATGGGGGACACTTTGGGCAGGGGTCCTTAGGGATAACATCAAGGTAGCCCAAACCCTGATTTGAGGTGAAGTGGGGAGACCCCCCACCCAGGGCCACCTATACCTGATTGTACCTGGAGGTGAAAGAAGCCTCCACCTCCCAAGCAGGATCCTGAAGAGGTGAGGCAAGCCTGAGTGAATAATGGGGTCTGGGTAACTGCATCTGCAGGCAGGATAGCCTACCTGGACCCATTAGGAAGAGCTGAGGAATACAGGAACTGGAAATGGAACCCCAACCAATTGAAAGTATGTGTTATTGGAAGAAAAGCAATAGAAGATTTGCAACATGAAATAAGATCGAGAAATGCTAGCAAAGTAATTGTTCAAAGAACACAATAGATGAAATACATAGAATGGATACAGCTAGAGAACAAGTTGAAAAGGTGGAAAGTCAGACTAAGGAACTACTCTGGAAGTAAAATAGGAACTTTAAAGGAACTATTAACAGAGATGGGAGAGAATAAGGGCTGGTGTCCACATAGCAGACTCAGGGAGAAGGGATACATGGAGTGGAGCAGGGATTGTCTGAGGAAGCAGGTGGTTGGAGTTCTCTGGACTGGGAAATGGTCCACAGAGAGCCCTATGGCATGTTGAGTTTATCTGTGTTCTCATAGTGGACCACAAAAAAGCCAAGCAGAACACATCAGACTTCCCCACAGTGCAACTGGCACAAGATAACAGTGCACCCAATTTGCCCAAATTGTCAATTGTGCAGTTGTAGTAAAAAATACTTTTAAGCATGTAAATTTCAGAAGTTTTGACATACAAAGGTCCATATTGAAAACAGTTTTGGTCAACATACTAAGAGAAATAAATTCAGTAAGTGCTATAAGATATGAGAGTAAGGAGAACTCAATATTAGGTAAGGTCTGTTGTATAAAAGTGTGTGTGTGTGTTTGTGTGTACACACACCAGTCAAGTCATAGGAAAGGACAAGAGAAGGTATATCCATAATGTCCCAGAGTCAGAATGGTAGACATCCTAAAATGATGGGTTTGATGGGGAGATCATCATCTTAATTTATAATGATCATCTTCTTATTTTATATTTTATCTCTGTCTTATAAAGACAGAAATATTAACTCAAAATCTGAAAGAAGAAAAAGGCAACACAGAAAAAAGGAGGACATGTTGAAATTCTTAAGATACTAAAAACAGGTCTAACTATACTAATCACAATAAATGTGAATAGATTAACTCTAGTAAAAGAGAGGTGCAATCTGTTGTATTAAAAAACATAATTAATAGAACTTTTAGATAGATTTGTGCACAAGGAAATTAACATCAGATTAAGGAAATTTTTCTTGTAAAAATATGTATCTTTCTGGCTGTTTTGCTTTGCCCTGAAGTCCTCTCTGTTTTTTGTGACTTGAGACACATTTCAATCGTCATTGAGATTAGAATGATGAGTTACTTTACAAATTTGCAGCAGGTAGCACCATTTCATAGACTGCATTTTAAATATAAGGACAGCCTGCCTCTTCCATTATGTGGTGAGAATGCATCTGTGCCTTGTTCGGCCTCTTGCCATGTGGCCATTTCCATGTCTCATCCCTCAGGATCGCTGTGTTCTCTGTGACTGTGCTGCATGATGACCGGATCGTCCTGGTAGCTGAGCAGCGGCCGGATGCCTCGGAGGAGGACAGCTTCCAGTGGATGAGCCGCGTGCTGCAGGTGGGCACCCTGCACAGCCTGTGGTTCGGTGAATCTCCCAAGCTGTCCCCTCCGACTCCACTCTGAGCGCCAAGTGGTTGGTTTGTTCCGCCCTGTCCTCTCTGTCTCCAGCTTGTTTATCTGTATTTTTCATTGCAAATTGACAAATTATAGCTGTCACCTCAATATTTATTTTTTTATGTGAGAACATTTGAAATTCACTCTCATTGTGATTTTGAAATGTACAATACGTTATCTGTGATGTTCACCAGTCTGAATATATCTCAAAGAAAAAACTTTCCTTGTCCTGTCTAATTGAGGCTTTGTGCCCTTTCACCACCATCTCCTCATTGCCCCATCCCTCAGCCTCTGGTCACAGATTTATGGACATGGGTAAACAAATACTGTGTGTGTGTTTCCCCTTTCTGACTTAAATGGTAGAAAACTGTACACACTCCTCTTCATCTTCTTTCCTCATCTAACATAATGTCCAGAGCTCCATTTCCTGGCCTGGAAAAGAGGTCCATGTAGGGGATGTTCCTGTCCCCCACCCAACATCTCCCCAGCCTCAAGTTGGGGGCCTGGGCCAAGCAGGGTCCTTCCCTTTCAGGCCATCGACAGCATCCACCAGGTGGGCGTGTACTGTCTGGCCCTGGTTCCTGCCAACACCTTGCCCAAGGCTCCTCTTGGAGGGATTCACATTTCTGAAACCAAACAGCGCTTTCTGGAAGGGACACTGCACCCGTGTAACGTGCTGATGTGCCCTCACACCTGTGTTACCAACCTCCCCAAACCTCGTCAGAAACAACCAGGTTAGTTGTACCTAACAACAGGATGCTCTCTAGTCAACATTGATAGCAACTGCGCTTGTGGTTAGGGTGCAGCCCAGCTAGACCCTCCAGTGCCAACTGCCCATGTCTTTGAGGCTAGAGTCAAGAGCCAGAGCAAGGGTGCACCCCAGAATGGTGCCACCTTCTGCCTTCCTGGAACTAGCTACGCATGGGGGAACTTAACCACATGCCCTATATGGTGGTTTGCATCTGCCTGTTAGGAACCAGTTGTAATGATAAACTCCAAGATGGTCTCTTAGCTTTGCATGGCTAGGAGATGGCTCCTTAGGGCTAGAAATGATGCCCAGGATCATACTGGAGCTTAAAGTCAAAAGTGCCTCTGTGGCCACGCTGTGCTATGGGGCACGAGCCATACCTGTCCGCAGGAGCCAGCTGCCTGCCTCTGCCCTGGGACCTGCCGCAGACACTGGGTTGATGGGACCTTGGAAATTTCTCAGCAAGTGGTCAGCTTTCCTTCCCTCATTTTACACATTTAAAAGCTAATTTTAAAGACTGGCTTAACCTTAATGCAGTTTTTCATTTCTTTGATCATGTTGATTTTTAGTACGTTGCAAAGTTTTTTTTGTTAATTACTGAACACATAAAATATCACTAAATACATTTCATCAGGAAGATTTAATTTCCTGGTTTATTCATAAAGTACAGTAAAACAAAATATGTTAAGAATTTTGCTGTGACTCAGGCCAAATCATATCCTCTGAGATATGTCATGTAGTAAACTTCTATATTTAAGAGAGAAGTTCTGTTTGTCACTTAGCATAAACATTGTAGCTGGCTTTCTGAATATTTGTATCTCAATAGAAGAGTTAAGTGCCTCATTCAAGTATGTTTTCAAAATAAAAAATATAATGAAAAAAAGTCACATGACTTTTTTCTTCTCATTCTAAATGAGAAGTTACTAGCATCTCATTCAGAATTTCCCTATTTCTAGAGGTTGGACCAGCCTCAATGATCGTGGGGAACCTGGTTGCTGGGAAGAGAATTGCACAGGCTTCTGGGAGAGAGCTCGCCCACCTGGAGGACAGTGACCAGGCACGGAAGGTAACAGGCCAGTTTTTGGGGGAGGGGTGGTGGACAGGTGTCCATACCCCGGAGGCTGCCGGTAACCAAATCACCCTCTCATGCAGTTCCTGTTCCTGGCTGATGTGCTGCAGTGGCGTGCCCACACCACTCCTGACCATCCGCTGTTCTTGCTGCTGAACGCCAAGGTGAGGCGGCGTCGGGGCTGGTAGAGCCCGTTGCTTGTCTAGTTGGTGATGCCAGCGCCCTGGTGGTTTTCCCATGTAGAGAACAGTGTGCCTGTGGGCTCAGCCCCCTTGTCCGGTGTGGTTCTCTCGGCCTGCCCCTTCCTTTGTAGGTTCCTTGTTTTCCACACAATTCACACAATAGTATTTCTACTGATTTTGTGTTTAGCAGGAAAAGTCTTATCAGCTCCAGTTTTTAAAATTAAAAACTGCATACATGTAAATACTTCTAAGTTTGTGAGCTAAAATGAAATGTTTTTTAATAAAAAATTAGGCATTTAGAATTTCTACATTTGTTTACAGCTTTTAAATGACAAATGTTGCTTCTGACCCTGTTCCTGCTGCTCATTTGGAAATTCTCATGTGTTTCAAGTTCCTGTTGTGTGCATTCCAGTATGCTAGGAGCATTCGGGATGCCAAGGAGAAACTATAATCTTCATGTTCAGGTTGTGGGCAGGAATGCAAAATGTGGAAACAAAGTTAAATAATTTAAAAACCCTCCTGCCCCATGCGCCATACAAGCTGTAAGAATTCTTAAGCTTTGGTGTGGTAAAGAGTAGCTCACTGTGGCTTAGAAGATGCTGGTCTAGCTTTTGGTATTGCTCATTCATTCAAAAAATACTTACTGATGCCTGCAATGTACACAGTGTTAAATAAAAAGGACCCCTATTCTTAACAGGTTTGAAATCAGTCTTCCCTGCTAGAAAACAAGTTCTGTAAGAGAGAGATTTTGTTTTTCTGGTTTATTGGAAGCATCTAGAACCATGCCCAGTAAACATTTATTTTATGATTGTTTGAGTTCTAAAGCCTACAGCCAGCCAATGATTTACCATTGACCATGGTAAAATCAGCTTAGGTGAGAACCTCGACATCAGTACAGTGGAGGGATGTGACCTGGAGTGCTGGGGAGGGGGCTTTGGATGGAGCCAGGGTAGCAGGGGCTATGAAGCAGTGATGGACAGTGGCTCAAGGCAGGAGAGGAGGCCAGTGTGGTGGGGGCCAGGTGGAACCATGAAGGGACGCAGATAAGGCTGGGGGTCGCTGGGTTTCCCCCGAGGGTGCGGCGGGATCCAGGGCCTTGGGGGCTTTGAGTCCTGGTCCAGTTCTCAGGTTCAGTCTGACAGGGCCCTGACTTATGTGGACTGGTAAGACTCTCAGGATTTGGACTGTCAGAATCTGCCCAGCCCTTGTGCCTAGGCATGGCACACAAGTGCTTCCACTGGTCTCTCTTTTTCCCTGCTTCCTGTCAGTAGAAGCCACCACTTGAGAAGTAGGGAGTTTTAATGTTACACTGGTCTGCTCTGGAGTTTTATATTTGTTAGACTGAATTGCACTTTTTATCTTCTTAAGGACTAAAAAAGCTGTGAGGCCTCGCATGGGATCAGGGAGGATGAGTTTCCTGAGCAGAGGGGTAGGGTTACAAGGTGTTTCTGTTTGTACTGAACTGGTCACATAGCCCAACACCCATCAGCAGAGAGACAGGGTGAAGGAATGAGCGGGTGCAGTCCGCTGTGGAGGAGGCGCACAGACGCCTCTGAGAATCCAGCTGCAGATGACACAGGCCCAGGCTCAGTAAGGCAGCCTGTGGGCATGCACGGTAATACAATTGAGGGATGCTTGCCCGCCGCTTACTATTTATTTATAATGGTGCTGTATGGAATATTTTATTGAAAAGGCCAGAAAGGTCTTTAGCCATGTGTTTGTGGCTCTGCCCTGGGTGAATGGAGTGGCCGCATCTCCCTTTCAGCTGGGACCATGCAGGAGATGCTTGCGTGCCTGTCCCTTCACTGCTGGCAAGAGTACACAGATGGTGAGAAGAGACACTAGTCGTGGGCCAGGTGCAGTGGCTCATGCCTGTAATCCCAGCACTTTGAGAGGCTGAGGCAGGCAGATCACCTGCGGTCAGGAGATTGAGACCAGCCTGGCCAACATGGTGAAACCCTATCTCTACCAAAAAGAAAAAGACACCAGCGTGGTGAGGACGCATAGGACTGACACAATGTCATGATCACGGATAATCACAAGGCATCGTGTGCAGTGGCGTGCATGCGGTAAACACGCACATCTGCGAACAGCCCATCTGCAGGCACCAGCACGCAATGAGCTCAGTGATCGCTTTCCTAGGGCACCGTCACAAGCACTGCAACCTGTATCCAGCTGCACAAAAGGGCTGAGAGAGTGGCCGCGGCTCTGATGGAGAAGGGAAGACTGAGTGTTGGGGACCATGTGGCTCTGGTCTACCCACCAGGTAGGCTCACTGTGGGGCTGTCCACCTGCAGTTCTTTGTAAGCAGTCACCTGCCCTAAGCAGCCCCCCAGATATTCCCTCCCCGAAGCAGCTTCCAAAACCAAGCTCATCTCCTCCTCTCTGCATCTGTCTGCCTCCTCAGCTCAGCTTCCCCTTTGGAAACCCGAAAGTCACCCCCATCCTCCCTAGCACGGCCTCCCTCCTTTCTTGCAGGAATAGTGGACAGAGGCTGGTGGGAGCCTCTTGTGGCTGTCCTCCTCATGGCTAGTCCTTGTCTCCACAGGGGTGGACCTCATCGCCGCATTCTATGGCTGCCTGTACTGCGGCTGCGTACCTGTCACTGTGCGGCCCCCGCACCCTCAGAACCTAGGCACCACGCTGCCCACCGTCAAGATGATCGTGGAGGTGCTCCCACCTGGCCCTCGGGACAGGGTCTGTGGGTGGGAGGCTGCCAGGCTGCCCTCCGCTGCCCCCCTTTCTGGGCAGCTCGAGTGGCCCCACTCACCCACCCTTGACCCCTCGCCATGCAGGTCAGCAAGTCTGCATGCGTCCTCACCACACAGGCCGTCACACGGCTGCTCAGGTCCAAGGAGGCTGCTGCCGCTGTGGACATCAGGACCTGGCCCACCATCCTAGACACAGGTAAGTGCCCTCACACTGCCCAGGACTAGTCCCTTTTCCCATGTTGTAGGTGTGGCCTGGCTCCCATCCAAAAACATGTGAGGCGAGAGCAGTCCTGGCAGGAGCCTGGCTGACGGCAGGGGTGGCCCCTGGGCCCTGGTGAGGAGTAGGGGTCCCTGTCCCGTGTGCGAATCCGTTCTCCACTGAGCCCATGGCAGCCATAGCCATTTCCAAGTGGTGCAGAGCACAGCCTTGCCCCTCTCACCCACCTCCTGCTGGCATGGGGGCTGGCAGCTCTTTTCTGTGAACCCTTTGGGGACACAGCTCCCACCACATGCCACCACACCAGCATCCCTTTCCCCATCATTGGTGAATGCCACTGTGCCCCCTGAAATGCTGAGGGCCAATGGGGCGGGGGTCTGAAAACCCCCTGGCTCCCGTCTGCTGTGGACCTGTCTCAGCCTGGGCTGGATGGGGCTGGGCCAGGGCAGCTGGTGCAGGGGAGGGCAGGCTCAGAGCAGAACAGCTGGCCAGGGCCCCAGAGCCTCACAGGATTGCCTCAAGGGAAGCAGTGCCTGCCCTGGTGAGCCTGTGCCCAGTTGCACCCAGGCAGGCAGTGGTGTCTGGCTCATGGGGCCATGAGAACTTGATGAAGCATGCAGAACTCAGAGCCTGTCCATGGCTATTCTTGCTGTGGTTGGAACTCTGGGCCCTGCCACAGACTCGGAGACCTTCGGCAAGTCCTCAGTCCTCTAGCCTTTCCTAGTGGTCAGTAATGTGATATCTCTCCTCCTTGCCTGCCTCGTCCCACATCCCCACGGGCTCAGTGTGGTTTTGGTGGGGCTGGGTAGCATTTCCATGAAGAATGAAATACGCTTTTCTGAGCACACACAGCCTGCATCCTCGTGACCTTACACCTGTCCGAGCTCACTCTCTGCAGGACTCCCAAGGACAAATCATGTGTCACCTCTTGCCTGTGAAAGCTCAGAGCACTCAGAATAAATGCAGAAACACACTGATATTGCTGGTGTCTCCTGTTTAACAGATGACATCCCTAAAAAGAAGGTAGCGAGCATTTTCAGGCCCCCCTCCCCCGACGTCCTCGCATACTTGGACTTCAGCGTGTCGACCACTGGTATATTAGCGGGAGTGAAGGTAGGTCCTCTGAAATCCTGTTGGCTTCAGCTCCTAGAAATCAGGGTGGGTGGACAGAAAGGACGTCAGACGAAGGTTTAGGCAGTTCCTTCGTATGCAAAGCACAAAGCAACAATACTGCTGCTTAAGATTTGTGTTAAATACCAGTAATCCCCTAAAATGTGATTAGCCTGAGAGTAATGCATATTTTGATGCTTTGTGGTCATGTCTAAACTTTTTGATTTATGACTGTCCGGCTTCCAGGAACTGGTGGCTTCGATGAATCTGTTTCCTTGCTGGGAGCCAATAGCTCAATTAAAAATTTTCAGTATCCAGGCTGGGCATGGTGGCCCACACCTGTAATCCCAACACTTTGGGAGGCCAAGGCAGGTGGGTCACGAGGTCAGGAGTTCGAGACCAGCCTGACCAACATGGTGAAACCCTGTTTCTACTAAAAATACAAAACTTAGCGGAGCATGGTGGCACACACCTGTAATCCCAGCTACCCAAGAGGCTGAGGCAGGAGAATTGCTTGAACCTGGGAGGCAGAGGTTGCAGTGAGCTGAGATTGCCCCTATTGCACTTCAACCTGGGCGACAGAGCAAGAATCCATCTCAAAAAAAAAAAAAAAGGAAATTCAGTACTTTGAAATTTTGTTTCAAAGATTTTGAGTGTATCGTTTCTTGGGTATTACTTAGGTTATATTGGGGATTTGAACCAACCATCTTTTAAGGAAATAAATATGAGTTTGGAAGTTTGGCGCTATGGTCTAGCCATGTGGAGAGCAGTTGCTGCCATCAACCCTCTCTCCCCCTGCACATCACTGAATTTCATTTCACTTTTTTTTTTAACCTTATTTTACTCCTAAGATGTCGCACGCGGCCACAAGCGCCTTGTGCCGCTCCATAAAGCTGCAGTGTGAGCTGTACCCCTCGCGGCAAATTGCCATCTGCCTCGACCCCTACTGTGGTCTTGGCTTTGCCCTGTGGTGTCTGTGCAGGTGAGTGCAGGGTCCCTACCACCTGCTAGGTGGCAGCAGCTCGTGTGGCTCGTAGGAATCGTGGCCTTCTAAGTAAGGCACCTTTCTGAGGGCTCAGCAAGCTGAGACGTGTGTGAGTGGGTTTGTTTGGGGATGAAGTGGGTTGGAGTCTGAGTCTGAAATTGAGTGAAAATACATTTTTCATTTAATACACTGTCCATTATTAGTACTTGGGAAGAATCTGCTTGATTCCTTCAAACACTGCAAAGTGGTGATCTGTCTCTAGAAGCGAGTGCCTCTGGAACGGTGTCCCTGGATACTCTCCAAGTGTTTGGAGCAGAGATCAGGACCCCGTGCCTGCCACCTCCCCAACCTCTCCCCCTGTGGCATGTTTTCCACCCACACCCCACTTGGCATCAGAGCAGAATTGTGCCCCGTCATGGCGGTAAAAGAAGTGTCCTGAGGAAGGGAAGAGCGGAGTGCCCAGGTGCTGGGTGGGTGGGCGGAACCTCACGAGCCTTCCCTCTCACAGCGTCTACTCGGGACACCAGTCAGTGCTAGTGCCACCACTGGAGCTGGAGAGCAACGTGTCCCTGTGGCTGTCAGCTGTCAGCCAGTACAAGGCCCGCGTCACCTTCTGCTCCTACTCTGTGATGGAGATGTGCACCAAGGGCCTTGGCGCGCAGACAGGTGTCCTCAGGGTGAGTGCCCAGACCTGGGTGTCCGAGTGTGCTGCAGACCACAGCCCTGGGAGGTTTAAAAACAAAACAAAACAAGACTCCCAAGGCCCCTCCCTGCAGTTTATGGAAGTAGAGAAAACCCTTTCCCCCTGCGGGCCCTGTGTACACATTCCTCCTCCCATGGCCCACCTGCCTCTGCAGCTTCACACCCCACAGGAGAGGAAGGTGTGGGGTAGGGCAGCGTCCCTGTGGAATAGCAGGGTAGAGGTCTGGCCATGTGGCAGGGCAGGTGTAGGATGCAGGTCAGATGGGAATCCTCTAGTACATCCACACTTAGGATTCTGTGGGATAGACGCAGCCTTAGGAGAGGAGGTTGGTGTCCAGCTCCACCTTTGTGTACCCACCCAGAGACTTCCCTAGATAGTGCCCAGGGCTGTGGCACCTTGCTGGGCTGTGGCTGTGGCCTGACTGCTCACCCCTCCCGCAGATGAAGGGGGTGAACCTGTCATGTGTGCGCACATGCATGGTGGTTGCCGAGGAGCGGCCCAGGATTGCGCTGACCCAGTCCTTCTCCAAGCTCTTCAAGGACCTGGGCCTGCCGGCCCGCGCCGTCAGCACCACATTCGGGTGCAGGGTCAACGTGGCCATCTGCCTCCAGGTAAGGTGCTTGGGGCCTGCGCTTCTCCAAAGCTGGCTGTTGGCAGTGTGCAGACTGAGAGTTTCTCAGTTAATGTCAGTTTTGTACCTGCCTGGTCTATTTCTCCTTCCCTGAGACTTTGATGTTTCATTTCCATGTAACATTTTAGCTTCAAGGATTTTATTTTTAAAAATATTCTAGTTGAACAAAGGCTTATTTGGGAAAAAATACAAATTGTTTCTTAACAGTGACTAATACCTTACCTGTAAGACTCTCTTAGATATAATACATAGCTAAGTTCTTAAAGCAAGATTGAACTTACTGTTTTAGGAAATCTAGCAATATTAAATTGAAACATTAATAAATGTGGTAATTTGTATTGACCCAAATTCATTTTTGAAGCTATGAAATGTCTTATTAAAAGGAAGCACCAAGTTTCAGGCCGGGAGTGGTGGCTCATGCCTGTAATCCCAGCACTTTGGGAGGCCAAGACAGGCGGATCTTCTGAGGTCAGGAATTCAAGACCAGCCTGGCCAACATGATGAGACCCTGTCTCTACTAAAAATACAAAAATAAGCTGGCTGGTGGTGCACGCCTGTGGTCCTGGCTACTTGGGAGGTTGAGGCACGAGAATTGCTTGCACCTGGGAAGAGGAGGTTACAGTGAGCCAGGATCTCACCACTGTACTCCAGCCTGGGGAATAGAGCAAGACCCTGTCTCAATAAATAAATAAATAAATAAATAATAAACAAACAAACCAAGTTTCAGGGACTGAAGAGTCCACGGCACTGCTGTTCACCACTTCCTCAGATAGCTACAGCTGTTTCCCAGATTTTGTGCTAATATCTCAGTTTCATTTCTTTCTAATAACATTTTAAAGCCAAATAGCTTTTTAGATACCCTACCTATTGAGTGCCCTATTCACCCACATAGTGCAAGAATAGCTGTAAGGAGATGGCATGTGCCCATGCCAGAGCTGTGCTGAGTGCAGGTCTGTCTCTGTTTCCAAAGTGTTTGCTTGGCCTTGTGCCTCCCCCTCGTGGCAGTGCACGCAAGGCAGGGCAGTGGCTCAGCTCATGCCCTCTTCACCATGACAGGACCCCTGGCCACTCGAGCCTCTGCCCCTTGTCACACAGCAGAGGAGGCCGGGTGGGAGTCTTCTGTGAGCTCGCTGCCTGCTGTGGGCTGTGGCTGAGCGTGGGTGCCAGCCTGTGTGTTAGTGGCTCTGCATCTGCAAGCCCCGGCCCTCCTTGCTGGACATCGGAAGGGTGTGGGTACCACACATGATTGCAGAAATGATGTTATGGGATGTTCACTTTTGCTCTTTGAGATACAGAGGTGGGTTTTGCTCTTTCTTTCCCTGTGTTTCTCATGTGGCTGCTGCTTCTGTGTGTGTTTCCTGTGGCTGTCTCCTCCCTGTCTCACTCTGCTGGCCTCCTTGGCCTCTGTCAGCCCAACAGGCTGGGAAAGCTGGCTGAGCAGGTATGACCTTGACCTTGTTGGTGCCTCTTTGCTTCCCCCTCCCATGAGTTCATGTGACTTTCTCGTGAATTCTAGACAGACGTGTTTCTTTTGCTGTCTTACTTTGTTCACAGTGGATATTCCTTGACATATTACAAAAGCTCCCTTGTAACCAAATTTAAAAGTAAAACTGTTTTCAAAAATTGTTAATCCTCGTAACATTACCTTGGGAGGAATGGGTGTGTTTAATTCCAGTGCAGACACAGGTTATGTTGTCTGGATCTTTAAGGGTTTTGTTGATCAGAGTACTCATTTAATTTGATGTTCCTTATCTAATAAAATGACACATAGTGTTCTTTAGTCGGGATTAATGCTAACTGTAAGATTCAGAAGTCAGGAAGGGAGGAGAAAGGTGAAGGCTGCCATCCGTCTCACCTGAGTGAGTCTCGCTGCGAGCCGTGCCCAGTAGAATTAGGCTGGTTGGTGAGAGGCTGGGCCCTGCCTGGCAGCATGGTGGAAATGCCCCTCAGATCCTAATGGTGTTTTCATCACAAGAGACCAGTGGGAATAGAAAGATGTTAGAACTGAAATGTAAAGTGGCATGATTTGGTGTTTTCAGAGTCATTGAGTGGTTCACTCAGTATTAGCAAGCTGTGTGGATGTTTGGATGGAAGGCGTCAGTCTGCCCTGGGGACCTTGAGCCCCTAGGCAGACCGGCTGCAGGGAGCACACGTGCTACCTTCTTGGGTGTCCCCGGGGGCCCGGGAGGAGCTGCCATGCAGCTGTGCCTGTGGAAACAAGATGAAAGTGAGGCCCCCAACAGAAGTTCCTCTGCCACTCTCCTTCCAGGGCACAGCTGGGCCAGACCCCACAACCGTCTACGTGGACATGCGGGCACTGCGCCATGACAGGTAATGTTTTCAGCCTGCCTGGGCCCCATTCATACCCGGTGGCATCCCCGGGGACCCAGGCATAAGAGGACAGATGGGCCAAGTCAGGCCTACCTGGGAACTCGGATAGGCACATGTTCGGACAGCTGGCTGCATTGGGCCATTTGCACCAAGAGGAAGAGGAGAGCTGTGGGCCCCACTCCAGGTGTGCTTCCCAGGGGAGCTCGATGTCCGTCTCTGTGCGCCCATGTCCCCAGGGCTGCAGTGAACATCCCTCTGTCTGCCGCACAAGCAGGAAGAATAAGAGTGACCCATGTGACATTCGGTTTTTTATAGGATAGGGATAGGTAGAAGACAAGTCATCTGCTGGCAAGAGCGTTTCTTACCTGATGCCGTCAGAGAATCTGTTTTCATCTTGATAAACAATGGTGATGCACACAGTGTGTTCTTGCTGGTCTGTGGTCAGATGTGCATCAGGGCCTCTCCCAGCTTTGAAGCTCAGATCCCAGACCTGGATATGTCCACACTGGAGCTTGATGTAAACACTAGGTTTAGCTTACTGGGTGCCAGGGGCCTGCTGGATTCAGGGATGACCTAAAAGAAATGTAGAGTGAGCTTCTGTGAGCACATGGGTTGGGTAGCGAGTACATGCGGGCAGCGGCACTTGGGACCAAGCATTGTTGGGGTGTCCCTGCCGTGGCCTGGAGTCACCACCCAGGTTGCTCATGGCGGGTGTGCTATGGAAAGGCTGACACCCTGACTGTTGTCAACAGACCCTCAGA